CGCAGATGTAGATGTAGTCTGGCTGTTGTTCTGTGTCTTCTGGTCTCTCTTTGAGGCGTAATATTTGTTTTATTTTCAAAAATATACATGGTTTTGGGAGGAGATTTCTGCCGCCCTACTCACACCTCCATCTTGAGCCTCTATCCCCCCCGATATGTTATTTTATGGATAATATTTTAGGGGAGGATATTTCCAGCCTATTTCTTGGAAGTATTGCCATAGTAATTAAAGTCTTAGGATCCATTTGCTGTCCACAGAATTTGATTAATCATAATTTTTGGTTTATAACAATTTATTAGTTCAGACATTGTTCTTTTAAAGTTGACTTACTAAAAAATTTAATAGGTTGACTAACCGGAATCTATTACCCAAAATCAGTAAGTAGAAACTTTTTGGGAATTACATCTTTGTGTTCCTTCCTTATTCTGTTTCTTTTCTGCCCACTAATGTTAATTGCTATCTTTTTTTTCCCCTTGTTTTTAAAAAATGTAAATATCTAATTTAGCTTGTTTTTTTGAGTTTATGAGAAAGGATATGTTGGTCTACAAGAGACTTGAATTTTCATTTAATATTAGGTTACTAGGATTTCATCTTCATGTGGGTCTGTAGTTCATTCTTTTTCATAACTATATAATATATTGTATTTTGTATACCAAAAAAATCTGTGTATTTATCCAGTCTCCAGACATTTGGCTTTTCCCTGACATTTACTGTCTAAAAAGCTTATGATTGTGTGTGTGTGTGTGTATGTACATGTTATATATATTATTTGGTCCAAACAAATATAAGTCCTTCAGTATGTGCCTAAGAGGGAATTTGTGGTTTATAAAGATGAAAGTTCCAATTTACAAGGTAATGGAAAATTGTTTTCCAAAGTGATTGTATTGATTATACTTCAGCCACTTAAGAAAATTTGATGAAACTTACTTAGGGGAACCATTTGGGTCTCATGTTTTCTTGTGGGAGGAATTTTTAACTATTACTTTGATTTTTGTAATAGAGTTATAAGAATATTTACGCTTTCTATTTCTTACTGATTTAGCTTTGGTAAGCTAATATTTTACTAGGAATTAGTACATTAAATTTTCAATTTATTAGTATATAGTTGATGTCTTCAAACAATGCTTTGATAAACTTTATTTTTCTGTTTTCAGATTCTTTGATTTCTGCTCTTATCTTTATTATTAGGACTGTCTTGTTTTAGGATTATTTTGCCCTATTTATAGTATCTTATTGTGGAATCTTAGATTATTTGGTACCTTCTTTTCTGAGATGAATATTTTATGCTACACATTTTCTTCTATGAAGTGCTTTTACTGCATCTTGCTATTACGCTGCATTTTCACTTTCCTTCTGTTTAATGTATTTTTTATTTCCCTTGCAGCTTGCTCTTTGATCCATGTATTGTTTTAGGAATGTTTGTTCAGTTTCCAATTGTTCCCAACAGATTTTTCTGTTTTCTTTATGTTTATGTCTAGCTAGTTTGATTTCATCATGGTCAGAGAACAAATCTTAAGTTTGTTGAGATTTGTTTTATGATCCAGGATATGATCTGTTTTGTAGAATTTTCTGTGCCATTGCAAAGAATATGTATTTTGCTGTTGTTGGGAAGAGTGTTCTGTAAATGGCAGTTAGATTCAGCTCTTTATATCCTTGCCGCTTTTCTGTGTGGTGACAACTAAGAGATGGATATTGAAGACCCCATTTATTTGCAGGTTTGTTTCTCTTTTCAGTTTTCTAAATTTTTGCTTTGTTTATTTTGAACTTATATTATTGGTGCATACAGTTAGTTAGGATTGTTATGTCTTCTTGGTGAATTGACCCATTTACCATTATGGAGTGAGTGCTACTCTTTGTCCATGGTAATTTTCTTACTCTGAAATGTATTTTGTGTAATATTAAGAAAGTCACTGCAGCTTTCTTTTCACTCATGCTTGCATGGTATATCTTTTTTCTGTCCATTTTCTTTTAACCTTCTTATGTCATTTTATTTTGAAATGAGATTCTTATAGACAACATATAGTTGGGTCATTTTTAAAATTCACTTTGCAAATTTTATTTAGTGTATTTGTTCCATTGCATTTACTGTCATTGATATGCATGTGTGTGCTTATGTCTTAACTTTTCTATTTGTTCTCTTTATTTTTCATTTCTGTCTTTTTTGGCCTTTTTATTGTTCGCTTGAATATATTTACTCCTCCACTTTTTTTAAAAAGTGTTTTTAAGTATATATTTTTTAATGGTTGGTGCAGAGAGTACTAACTTACTGCAGTCTACTAGTAAGGACATTTTACCACTTGAAGTATAAAATTTGTACAGATCTTACCAAATTATTTAGGTCCTTTAACTCCCATTTATAATTTAGTTTTCTTAAGTATTATCTCTGAAACCATTGAGAACCATATCAGGTACCTCATTTAAGAGAAATCATATATTATTTGCCATTTTGTGTCTATTTTTTCCACCTAGCATAATGTTTTCCAGGTTAGTCCATGTTGTGGCATATATCAAAAATTCATTCTTTTTTTAATGGATGAATAATTTCCATTATTCTACTATAGTACATTTTGTTTTGTCATTTATCCCCTCAAGGGTTGATGTACATTTGGCTTGTTTTAACCTTCAAAGGTTAATGGATTATTTTGTCTGTTGTGAGTATTGTTGCTGTGATCATTTGCATACAAGTATCTCTTGGAGTCCCTGAGTCAATTTGGTTATCCACATATTTACCATTTCAGGTGGTCTTACAACTTTATGTAAATTTATCTAAGTATTGTTTTCCTTCCTGAAGGTCCTTTTAACAGTTCTGTAACTCAAGTTTGCTCTTGATGAATTGTTGTGTTGATATAGTCTGCATTTCTCTCTCTGTTTCCCATCACTGTAAAGACTTTTTTGCTGAGTTTGGAATTTTAGGTTGATTTTGTTAAAATTTTTAGCTCAGTAAAAATGTCACTCCTTTTTCTGCTGGCTTGCATAGTTTGATGAGAAAGGTATTATCATTTTTAAAGTATTTTTCTTAAAAATGTGGAAAAAAAACATACACAGTTTGCATTTTGAAGTGTGTAATCCAGTGGCTTTAATTATGTTCCACTGTTTTCTGTTATTTTAGTGGTAACTTTTAGATTAGTATACATCTTCAAGTTGTCAAACTTGCATCAAGCAATAATATGCCACTTCACATATAAGCACATCAAAACAATACTCTCTCTAGTGTTTCTGTTCTCTGACTCTTTAAAAAAAATGTTCTTTTCTTCATTGGTGTGTGTGCTGTGTGGAGTTGAAGTGTGCTCATGCATGTTGTGTTGAGTGGGTATTGTGTTGAGTTGTTTGTGGGGGCACAGGTTTGTGTCGGTGTTGTATGGAAAAGGGTTTGTGTGTGGCAGTGGTGTGTATATTGTGAAGGGACAGTTTTTTTGCGTGCTTTGTTTTGTAGGTCTGATACTTCAGTGTCTTACCTGGTCTTTGTTGTCTTTATTCTGATTATTGATATATGACATGAGGACTTTTTTTACCAATTAAAATATTTTTATTTTTCCCATCTTTGGTTTGTTCCCCCCCTTCTTAAAATTCATTGCATTTTTTTTCTTGTTGCTGTTTTTCTTGTTCCACCATTTTTTTCTTTAATATTTTAGGATTTATATATTTTCTTGGTGGTCTGTGAAAAATTTTAATGCATATTTAGCTTTAGACTTAAGTATTAAGGAATTAGGAGCACTTTAGTTCTGATAATTTTCTTCCTCAAATAATACTTTTGTTGTCCAGTATTTCAGGTCTGACTTTCTAGAAATCTCACAATTTATGCACACCATGTTTTTCCAACAACACATTTAAAAAAAAATCTAATACATACTTTAAAAATTCCCTGTATACTTACCATGTTATGATAACCTTGATGTCATATTGTGCTTGTAGGAACATTCCTTTAGAACAGATCTCTTGATGATAAATTTCCTTGGTTTGTATCTATAAATACTTTATTTAGCTATAGTTTGCAATTCTAGGTTGACAGATTTTCTGTGGCCAGTTTGAAGATAATATTCCACTGTCTTTTACTGTCAAAGCCTGCTAACCTGTTTTATCCTGTGTTTTTTTTTTTCTCTCGGCTGTTTTCTAGTTCCTCTGATTTTGATGCTCATTGGGTTGTGGATTTCTTTTCATTTACCTGTTTTGGTTCCTTTGGTCTGTATCTGTGGAGCCATCTCTTTTATTGGTACAGGAATATTTGCAGCTATTCTTCATTTCCTCCTCCCTTCCTAGATACGCTTAAATTTGTGTGAGATATTTTCCTTTACTTTTTCATGCCTTTGTGCCTACTTTGATACTTTCTTTTCCTTTCTTTCTTTGTTTCTTATGGGTAAGTTCTTTGAATGTATCTTTGTGTTCTCTAATTCTTTCCAGCCATGCCATGACTGCTCTTTAATCTTTATATTGAGTATAAGAATAGTTTCAGCCTCACCTCCAATCTCTTTATATCTGATATTGGGAAATGGTTTCCCTGGAGACCTTGCCTATATTTTGAGAGACCAGGTATGCTTAGTCTCTGGAGTGTTGTTATGGTGCAGTAGGAGAGGTTCATTAGTCATTATCCATGGAATAAGACTATCTTAAAATTCACATTATTCTTCAGATAATATTTTTGCAAGTTTTGCACCAGAAAACAATTTTGAAGGGATGGTTCTAGAGTGGACAGATATATAAGGCTACAGATATTTATTCTTGTATGCTGAGAGATTTTCTGATTTCATGGGATGGGCCCAAGAATGTACATTTATTGGAGTTTCCTGGTGATATTGATACATCTAATCTGAGGAATACACTTTGAGAACCAACGGACTAGGTGAAGTCTTGATTTTTGGTTTTAATTCTTTTGACTTTGAGTAGGGGTGTTATCTAGCTTGGGAATCATTTTATTAACACTAAATAGAAGTCCTATAACAGTTTCCTTTGGCACCTAAGTAGCTTGTTTAAAATCATTGCATTAATGTAATGTTTTATTTTAGTGACCATTCAGGATATGTTCGTCCAGTACCAGTGCCACGCAGTCTAAATAGTGATATTTCCTATTTTGGTGTTGGGGGCAAGCAGGCTGTTTTCTTTGTTGGACAATCAGCCAGAGTAAGTAAAAAGATTTCTTATAAATAGAAATTGATTAAAAATATTTTGACATTAACCATCTAAATGTATTTAGGCTTTAAAACCAGTTTAACTTTTAGGAATTTTTAAAGTACTCTCTTTACTATTTAACAGATGATAAGCAAACCAGCAGACTCACAAGATGTTCATGAGCTTGTGCTTTCAAAAGAGGATTTTGAGAAGAAGGAGAAAAATAAAGAGTCAATATATAGTGGATATATTAGAAACAGAAAGGTATGTTTTAATTCATTAATTATAAATTTATTACCTTGGATGGATGATAGGACAGGATAGTATTTTCTGATTTCTATTTAAGATACTAATCTTGTTGCTTTAAATCTTAAAGCTACAGAATTTTCAAATTACTTAATTTTTCTTTAATTGTGTGACTAGCAAAAGTGATCATTTGTGTTTTCTCAGGCCAGAAGTCTTCAGACAAGTTGTCTTATAAAGCCTAGTAAGCCTCCTAGAAATTACTCATAAGATTGTCATTATTTTCCCTTACACTGAGATTGGTTTTTTAAATCTTTGCTGTATAATCATCACAAAACTAGAGTAGGAAACACTGATAGATTATTAGCAAATCAGAGCTCCAGCGAAATAAATGAGTGGTTTATGTATGTTGTAAGTTTCCATTCAAATTCTAATTTTAATAAACAATGTCAACAAATTTGAGTCTTGGTGGTGAGTATGTGGTATTGTATTGTTTGACTTTCTCCATTTGATTCATTACAATAATTTACTTTAAAACCTTTATTTTGAAGTAATTTTGAGTTTTTAAAATTCTTTTCAGATTCTAAAACAAGTTGTAAAATATTTATAGGAAAGTATAAAGAAAATAGAATGAAATTAGTCCATATGCCATAAAAAATTAAACTGAATTTCTTTCTAGTCTTTTTTAAATCATGTACTTAATAATTTTAAGCCTACCATTTTTTTAACTACCATTTTTTTAACATTTTAAGAATTTTTTCCATTTCATAAAATATTTTGGTGCACACATACTTCTAATAACTTCATAGTATTTATTTGGCTGAATGTACTATAGCTGTTCTGTTGAGTGTTTAACTTATTTAAAGGGTTTATGATTACACTGCCATGAATATCTTTTCATAACATTTTGCCTGAATTACGATTTTTTCTTAGCATAGATGGTTAGAATTTTAATAGCTATGACTAGTTTGGACTTTTCAAATGTTCATGGTATGTATTACAAATTAGCTTTTGTGAAAGTTTGAACCCAGGTACACTCCCAACAACAGTATATGAAAGTGCTTTCTGATTATTTTTTATTTATAAAAAGAGGGGAAGGCAGCAAAATGCTGGCAGTTTGATAGGCTTTCTTTTATTACTAATGGGTTGAATTTTTTTTCCATGTTCATTAGCCACTTTTATTTTCTCTATAACTTAACATTGTCCTCTGTCCAAGAAGTTTATTTTGTTCATTTCACTTTTCCCCCTTTAAATTTATTGCATTTATTAACAATTTACATATTTAATATATTTACATAACAGTATTCCATCTTTTTCCATTATATCTTACCATCACAAAGCCATATAAAGTGTATTTGTGGAAATATTATTTGCCATGTTAAAAGTGGTGAAAAACAGGAATTGAGATTTTAAATGATTTTCAAACCTACATACATATGATAAAGCTTGGATAGAACTGAGTTCTCTTGGGTGGTCATGTCTGCTAGCTTTTTGCTGTTTTGTGCTTAGTTTGTTCCAGCAATATTTGATGGGTACCTATAGGTTCCTAGTCCTTTTCTTTTTCTGACCTGTCCTTTCCAGCCTATTTTTTGGCTCTTCCTCTATCCCTGACCTATTAGCAGTTATTACAGTATGTATGGGTTTGGTGTTTCTTTATCGATAACTCGCAGTCTTGCTTTTTCTATAGGGCAATATAAATAAATAAGTATGTGTGTTTTGTGTGTGTGTGTGTGTGTATATATGCTACTTAATACCAGTAGTTCTCAAATCTGTTATTTCTTTTCAAGACTTTTCTCTTAAGACACTGAATTAGGCTGGACTCCATAACAGGACAAATCATCCTAGGCACTTTAAAGAGTAAAGGATTTAATGAAGGGAATTAGATACGTGATTATTGGAAGGACTAAAGGAATCAACTTGAGGCTAAGCCTTGTAGAATAGTGCCGCAACACTCTGAACTAACCTTCAAGGATGCTGCAACATCTGTTATAACCGTAGCTAGAGGACCACCACTGGATCTGGAATTTAGAAACACACTGCTTCATTTGTGATCCAGGAGGTGGAAAGGTCTTGCTGCCACAGTTGCTCCAACACTGGAACACAGAATTTCTGGCCATAACCAGTGCTGTCTCAGTGCTGACATGTAAAGCTGATCTTTCAGTACTTTGCATGATGTTGGAAAACCTTCAAGAAACCTTAGGAAATGACCTCTCATTTTTCCCTTCTAAATCCTTTGGGTAGTGCATCTAATTGGTGAGCCGCAACCCAAAATATAAGGGAGTCTTAGAAACACTTTTTTGGCTTCCCACCCTACGCAGTTGCGGATGGAACAATAAAAGGTTGTACGAAGGGATGCTGAGTACCAAATGATCATATCTTGCACATTCATTTTCAATTTCAGTTGAATGTCCCTCCCAGGTGTTTGATAAATAACTTTTGGTATATCTGAAAACAGATATTACCTGTACACCTTTCTTATTCTCTCCTTTTCTCTCCCTTTCCCCCAACCATACTTTTCAATTAACAGTATTCCCTGGCCAAGTAATTAGTATTGTAATCCTTGTTGTTAATCATTCACCACATTTAATTCTGTCTTCTAAAATAGTTTCTTTCATCTACCTTCTTTTCCACCCATTTCCACTGCTTGATTTTAGCCTTTCTAGCCTCATCATTTCATCATATTTATCATATATTCTAAACTATCTTGTTTCTCTAATACTCCAAATCCTTATGTTCTCACTGGTCTGGAATGTTCTTAATTACATTATCTGCTGGATGAATGTCACCTTTTTAATTCTGTAGCTCTTGGTTCATATCTTTGTAAGGATACATAGTTTTGTAATCAATGTTATTCATTTCTACCAGGTAGAATTTTTAGTGAGGAAGGGCACTATCTTACTTACCTTTAACCCTATCTTCCTTTCGTCCATGTTGAGTCATAGGACTTACTAGGTACTTGGTAAATATTTGGGTAATGCACCTGCATCATTTGCAGACTCAACCTAATCTGCTAACTCTGAAAGTATATAAAATGTTACTTGTATATTATATGTTGTAGCTGTAATATTAGTAATTTAATGTGTAGGGATGTGCTGGAATAGCATTGGGGGGTTTGTTTTTATTTAATAAAGTAATAATATATGCTTATTAAAAAGAAAATCAGTTTCCTAGACACAATAGTTCAGTGTGTATCCTTAAGTTTTATATACATAACAACATACATAGTATATATATGCATATATCTGTGTATCTATATATCATATATGGTACAATTTTAATACATATAGACTCACAATAAAAATTGAGAAGTTCGTCCTCAAACACTCCCCCACAATTCCCGCCCCCCCCATTTCCCTTCTGTAAGCTATAGATGCTCTCTAAAAGTGCACTGGAATCCAGGATGGTTTTACTCCTTTTTAGACACAGTGCTTTTGGGCTAAGCCACCTGGGTTCAGGCTGTATCTTAGTTTTCTTGAACATGAAGGGCTGGGCATTGGTCCTGACCAGATCAAGTGATAGGTATCCCAAGCAAGGACTCATTGCATCCTGGGTAAGTATCCTCAATTTTTTTTTTCAGCATTTTTAGACTCAATATTTATTTTTCTTTACTTTTACCTTTATGATTCTAAAATCAGTTCAACATTATGTTATAGGATACTTCTTTATGTATGTATGCTGGTTTAGCAATATATGTTAAAAGGTCCCCTGTCCTCACAGCATTGCCACACACTCAGCTGATAGGGTCATTTTCCTACAAAAGTTTTTTGAAGCATGTTTCTGAAACTCTTCAAGTGAATCACATTAAAAGTCAATGTAGATGCACAATTGCATCAAAAAGAATAAAATACCTAGGAATAAACCTAACCAAGGAAGTGAAAGACCTGTATTCTGAAAACTACAAGACATGCATGAGAGAAATTAAAGAAGATACTAATAAATGGAAATACATTCTGTGCTCATGGATAGGAAGAATTAATATTGTCAAAATGGCCATCCTGCCTAAAGCAGTCTATAGATTCAATGCAATCCCTATCAAGATACCAGCAGCATTCTTCAGTGAACTGGAACAAATAGTTCTAAAATTCATATGGAACCACAAAATACCCCAAATAGCCAAAGCAATCCTGAGAAGGAAGAATAAAACAGTGGGGACTACACTCCCCGACTTCAAGCTCTACTACAAAGCCACAGTAATCAAGACAATTTGGTACTGGCACAAGAACAGAGCCACAGACCAGTGGAACAGAATAGAGAGTCCAGATATTAACCCAAACATGTACGGTCAATTACTATACGATAAAGGAGCCGTGGATATACAATGGGGAAATGCCAGCCTCTCCAACAACTGGTGTTGGCAAAATTGGACAGGTACATGTAAGAGAATGAAACTGGATCATTGTCTAACTCCATACACAAAAGTAAATTCAAAATGGATCAAAGACCTGAATGTAAGTCATGAAACCATAAAACTCTTAGAAAAAAACATAGGCAAAAATCTCATGGACATAAACATGAGTGACTCTTAGAAGAAAACCTAGGCAAAAATCTCTTAAATATAAACGTGAGCAACTTTTTTCTGAATGCATCTCCATGGCAAGAGAAACAAAATCAAAACTGAAAAAAATAGGACTACATCATGCTATAAAGCTTCTGTTCAGCAAAGGACACCATCAGCAGAACAAAAAGGCATCCTACAGTATGGGAGAATATATTTGTAAATGAGATATCCGACAAGAGGTTAACATCCAAAATGTATAAAGAACTCACACACCTCAACACCCTAAGAGCAAATAACCCCATTAAAAAATGGACAGAGTATATGAACAGACACTTCTCCAAAGAAATTCAGATGGCTAACAGGCACATGAAAAGATGCTCCACATCGCTAGTTATCAGAGAAATGCAAATTAAAACTGCAATGAGATATCACCTCACACCAGTAAGGATCGCCATCATCGAAAAGACAACAAATGTTGGCGAGGTTATGGAGAAAGGGGAACCCTCCTACACTGCTGGTGGGAATGTAAATTAGTTCAACCATTGTGGAAAGCAGTATCGAGGTTCCTCAGAATGCTAAAAATAGAAATACCATTTGACCCAGGAATTTACCCTAAGAATGCAGCAACCTAGTTTCAAAGAGACATGTGCAGCCCTATGTTTATCACAGCACTATTTACAATAGCCAAGAAATGGAAACAAACTAAGTGTCTATCAGTAGATGAATGGTTAAAGTAAATGTACATATACACAATGGAATACTATTCAACCATAAGAAAGAAATCCTACCATTTGCAACAACATGGATGGAGCTAGAGGGTATTATGCTCAGTGAAATAAGTCAGGCAGAGAAAGACAAATACCAAATGATTTCCCTCATTTGTGGAGTATAACAATGAAGCAAAACTGAAGGAATAAAATAACACTCACAGACTCCCAAGAAGGGACTAGTGATTACCAAAGGGGAGGGGTTGGGGAGGGTGTTTGGGGAGGGAGGGAGAAAGGGATTGTGGGGTATCATGATTGGTGCACATGGTGTATGTGGGGTCACAGGGAAGACAATGTATCTCAGAGAAGACAAATAGGGACTCTGGCATCTTACTACACTGATGGACAGTGACTACAATGGGGAGTGGGGGTGGGACTCGATAATAAGGGTGAATATAATAACCACATTGTTTTTCTTGTGAAACCTTCATAAGAGTATATATCAATGATACCTTAATTAAAAAAAGAAATAAATGTTATTTGTGTAATTACAATTGAGATGTATCTAATCTATTGTATTTATATTCACTTTTATAGCCATCTGATTCTGTTCATATTACAAATGATGATGAAAGATTTCTACATCATCTTATCTTAGAGGAGAAGGAAAAAAATAGTTTTACTGCTGTGGTTATCACAGGGGTACAACCAGAACACATGCAGTACTTGAAAAATTATTTCCATCTTTGGACAAGGCAGTTAGCGTAAGTAAATTATTTATTTGATTTAGGACATGCTGTTACTTGTTTTTTGTTTTTTTTTTTAAGACAGAAAATGTTAGAGATACATTGAAGCCTTTTGGTGGTCTGCTTTGCTCCTGTCCCATTTCCCTCCCTTCCATGCAGTAACCAATATTCAGATGTTGGCATTCAAATAGTTCTCTATTATGTAACTATTGGTTGTTCACCTGTATTATATTGGCTATTGTTTGAGGCACAGGCTTTTCAACACCTATTATAAAATTTAAAATGAACTTTAGAATTTATCAAATTTGGCACCATCATTTCTATGTCTCTCTTTTGTGTGCTTGTATTGTAGCGCCTATCATAACCTTCCATACAATGTATTTTCCTTCCATACAATGTATTTTTACTTACATTTTTGTGTGTATTACTCCATTGTAATCTTTTTATGCATTTTTATAATCTCAGGGTTTCCTATTCTAACGTAGATGTTCAGTAAATATTTATCAAATGAATGCATCAAGTCTGGTAAAATAAAAAATATGCAAATATACCTATATATATATATTAGTAATACTTAAATCTTTGCTTATCTATTCTAGGAAAACTTTTTAGGTAGCATATATGTTCTATTAGTTCAAGTCACAGGAATATTTATTTAATGGTGCTAAGTTTTGTTCTGTAGCTACATAGTATAGCTCATTAACTGTATTGTTTCCATCATTTGCCTTAGTCTGAGTTATTTTTTTTTTTATTTTTATTTTTTGAGAGGGCATCTCTCATTTATTGATCAAATGGTTGTTAACAACAATAAAATTCTGTATAGGGGACTCAATGCACAATCATTAATCAACCCCAAGCCTAGTTCTCAACAGTCTCCAATCTTCTGAAGCATAACGAACAAGTTCTTACATGGTGAACAAATTCTTACATAGTGAGTAAGTTCTTACATGGTGAACAGTGCTAGGGCAGTCATCACAGAAACTTTCGGTTTTGATCACGCATTATGAACTATAAACAATCAGGTCAAATATGAATATTCGTTTGATTTTTATACTTGATGTATATGTGAATCCCACATTTCTCCCTTATTGTTATTATTATTTTTTTAAATAAAATGCTGAAGTGGTAGGTAGATGCAAGATAAAGGTAGAAAACATAGTTTAGTGCTGTAAGAGGGCAAATGTAGATGATCAGGTGTGTGCCTCTAGACTAAGTATTAATCCAAGCTAGACAAGGGCAACAAAACATCCATGGATGCAGAAGAGTTCTCTCAAAATGGGGGGTGAGGTTCTAAGCCTCACCTCTGTTGATCCCCAGTTTCTCACCTGATGGCCCCCCTGCAACTGTGCCTATCTTAGGTTTTCCTCCCTTGAGGAAGCTTCTTAGTCTGAGTTATTGAATCTTGCAAAAATGCGTACATCTGCACAAAATTGTTTTTTTTTTCAAAGTATCTTTTCATATTTACCCAAAAGTCTAGTACACTTAATTTGAGATTCTCTATTTTAAAATTGTCTTGTGTGAAAATAAATTTTATTTTAGGAATATTCCTTTTCTTCTTGACTACTAATGTTTATTATTTGCCATGTAACCTGAGTTTTAAATGAGACCTTGGAACTTTTCTTCTCTTAGTATATATTTTATTAGCCATTTTATAGTATCTTTTAAGTAAAGGAACTCAATGTACATAATATATAATTAGAATATACTCTTGCTCTGTAACAAACAATAACATAAAACTTTAACAACTTATTTGAAACCTTTTTTTAAGCTATTTATAGCACTTTTTCTTAAGGTATTGTTGTAAACTTACTGTTGATAATAATGTTAACACTGTTGAGATGTCTGAAGAAAGAGCTAAAGAATTTCAGTGATAACCTTTTATTTCAGTAATATTTTGAAGACTAGCTATGATAATTAATATCTTAAAATTCATACAAAGAAATACTGCAGATTCCTGTTTGAGGAATTATAGATGTGATACGTTTTGGCCCTAAGAAATCTTACCAAATATAAGCTTTTTAAACTTAAAAATGAAGTAGCAAAAATTTCTGAATTGGTGGTTTTTAAAGGGATAATGTTGAATTTACTAGTTTTTGTTTGTTTTGGAAATGTTGGAATAAAAATGTTTAGATGCTAAAGGAGAGGAAAAATGAGAGTTATAGAATGATATTTTCATGTTGAGGAGATCATTTAAAAATAGCTAATCTTGTATACTCCCTGGTATTTGAGTCCTTTCTATGACATCTCTGACGTATGGAATTACAGTCTTCTAGCTTTTACTTTTTGATCAGCTATACTTGTTGAAAGTATGAAGTATGTGCGCTGTGAAGTTGGAAAGGCCTGGATTGCAACCCACCTCTCCTAAACTCTAGTTCTGTAACCTTAAGTAAATTATATAAACTCTTGCACTCTAATTTTTGTATCTACAAAACGAGGTGCAATATACCTGCATTTCAGCATTATTTTTACCATTAAATGGAATACCATATTTAAAAATGCTTAATATGTAGCACTTGACACCTAGTAGATATTGCCAAAGAGTAGTTACAAATTTTTTTTGGTACTATATTACATGAACTATAGTTTTATGTGCATTAAAAAATAAAGTTATTCTTTTTTTAAGGCATATTTATCATTACTATATTCATGGCCCAAAGGGAAATGAAAAACATACATCAAAAGAAGTTGGACCTTTCAACAACATTGATATTGAAGTAAGATAAAATTCCTTCTTAAAATATGAATTATTGTGTATCTGTTCCGGTTCCAAGTGACTATGGATAAGAAAAATCAGTCAACAACTAGACAACCCTTTCTTCTTTTACCAAAGTACTTTGATAATTTGATATTTAAGAGATCTTTCCTGGATATATGTTTCTTGAACCTCTGTTTACTACAGTGTTTGGTTTCTCTTTTTCCTCTGTCTCTGTAGAGATATGAGTTAGTGCTTCAATCATGTCTCAAAGCAGGGAAAGGGATGCAAATGCTTCTTTTTGTTCACAGAAGTGTTGTGACGATGAAGTAAAATTTATAAGTACATAACTTATAAGTACATAACTTTATAAGTATTGGGTTCTCAATATCCTTGCCCCAATATTAGAATTTCATGTATATCATTTGTCCTGCTTCTAACTTCTAGCAAAAAACTTTGAATTAAATGTACCTGTGACTTAATCTGTCTTCCAGTTTTGCTTTGCTCTTTGTTTACATTCTGTTTTCTAGTAGTATATTCCTTATTGAGATGCTACTTAGAGCTATTTAACCTGTATATGAGTACATATATTTCATTAAGATAGATGATTACTTATATAAATAAAAGTAGTTTTTGTCTGTTCTGTTGTTGGATCATAGTAAAGTAAAAGTCACTATAGAATTCAATTTTTGTTTTATTTTTATATTAGATTTCTATGTTTGAAAAAGGGAAGACACCTAAGATTGTCAACCTGAGGGAAATGCAAGATGACATGCAGACGTTGTACATAAACACAGCAGCTGATAGTTTTGAGTTCAAGGCTCATGTTGAAGGAGATGGTGTAGTGGAAGGGATTATCCGCTATCATCCTTTCCTATATGATAGAGAAACTTACCCTGATGATCCATGCTTTCCATCAAGTATGTTAATCTGTTTATCTTAGCTTCAAAATGTGAACTTGTGACTTAAGATAGTGATTTGTTTTTTTAATGATTATTAATTGGGCTATTAAGGCCAGAGAAATGTTAAAACATTTTTCCTCAGGCATATCTTTTTAAGTCAGGTATTTTTAATATTTGTAATTTTAATTTTTGTGTATATTCACTTCCAGGTGAATAAAACATGGCTTTAAGAAATATATTTTTTTCTCAGGGATCCCTTACTGAACAGAACTTTTTACTGCATATTAATCCTTTACATATTCTTCCCGTATCTTTGTAGGTATTTATAAAGAAATTTTTAACTTGATAAAGTCATATCAGTTTTTTCTTGATACTTTCTGATTTTTGTCTTGTTGTAGAAAGTCTTTTTATACTTCTAAATTATTAAAGGATCCTGTAGTGTTTAAAAAATCATTTTATGTTTATATCGTTAATATATCTATAAACTCTTTTTTGTGTTTACAATGAGGTAGGGTTTTAACTTAGTATTTTCCATGTGGCTGTTTGGTTTCCTAACACCAATTTTTGAATATTATCATTTTTGCAGTAGTTTGAAATACTACTTTTTATAATGATATTAAGTCCCCATAGTACATAGATCTGGATTATTTACTATAAGGTATTGGTGTATTTTATATTTTTATAATGAATAGTGATACTGTTTTATAGCTTTATGTGTATTGATATCTTTAGGGCATGAAACTCAAATTTTTTTTTGAAAATTCTTTATCTATTGCTCTTCTAGATAAACTTTGGGATTACTTTGTATATTCACTTGAAAAAAATCCTAGTGGAATTACTGAGATTGAATTGAATTCATAAATTAACAATATTAAACTTTCTCATTCAGAGTAATTCTTTACTTTATCTTGAGTGTTGTGAGGTCTGGAACCATATCTCCTAATTTGAATACAATCTTTGCCTCTGTCGAGTAAACTTTGACAAACTGTTGCTTACCTCAGTTTCCTTATCTGTGAAGTGGAAGATAGTTATGCCCCTTAGGGGTATTGTGAAGGCTAAATAAGAAACTGCTTCAAGTTCTTAGACTAGTGTTCAACATTATCTAGTAAGTGCTCATATTGATTATTCAGTGGCTCTGCCTCCCTTGATGTCACTGACCCCTTTTTATTTTGCCATTTCTAATTTTTGTGTGCTGTAGACAAAAAGATAAATTCAAATGATATCTTAAAACAAGAATCATAAGTTGAATGATCAGAGGGATTCTCTAAGAGCAAAGTGATTTGGTTTGATTGAAAGATACTTTTATGTAGAATTTCTTGTGAGGGTTTTTGGGGGTAAAAAGGGTTTATTTTAGACGGGTGGCAATGCCAGAATAACTAAGGTGTAACTACCAGGATCAAAATGTTTGATCCTAATTTATCTGGATATGTGAAAATATATTGCTAACAAACATGAAAATGTTATAGAGAATCATGCTTTTGATGCTTTGTGAAGTAATCATAGCTGTATCACCTGAATCTGATCTTTTGAAAATTTAATAGTTCATATAAACTTAAATTCAATATTATTAACTAATTTGTACTAATTTGTTCAAACTTGGCAAAGTTGCTGCTACTAGATGGCATAGATTTCCCAGGTGATTTTTTGTGAACATACTGGTTTTGACAGAGTTGTGAAACTTGTATTTTAGGTACAGGATTCAAGCTCTTATATTTGTAGGGAGGAGGGATTCTGCTGTAGGGCATAATCTCTTTGGATGTATGACTCTTGTACTCTATAATTAGAATTTAGAGATTGTAGATTCAGCAGCTAGTGTAGTGCTCCTAACACAGATTGATTAGTATATAAGTAATTACTGACCTTTAAATGAGAAACACCATTGGTAATGTGTAACCACTTTAGAACTCTGCCTAAAAATAAAGCTACTTTTAGGTTTTAAAGAACACAGTAATAAAGATCATGTGAGTTTTTGTTACCATTTCTCTGAAGCAACTTTAGTATTTCACTTACAGAAATTGATTTCTTAGTGAAAAAAGTTACATATGCTTTATATCAATAAACATTTTGTTATGCTTTTACCTTGGCTCTAGAATTAAAAGATGAAGATGATGATGACGATTGTTTCATAATTGAGAAAGCAGCAAGAGGGAAAAGGCCTATTTTTGAATGTTTTTGGAATGGACGACTAATACCATATACATCTGTTGAGGAGTAAGTTTTGATTTTTGCTGAAATTACATTGTTTCATACCCTGATCTTTTTTCTAACTAATATTTGTTCTGTTCAAGCTTTGACTGGTGTACTCCTCCTAAGAAGAGAGGGCTTGCACCAATTGAGTGCTACAATAGAATATCTGGTGCATTATTCACTAATGACAAATTCCAAGTCAGCACAAATAAACTCACTTTTATGGATCTTGAGCTAAAATTGAAAGATAAGAACACCCTTTTTACAAGGATTTTAAATGGACAGGTATGATTTTAAATATCATGTTCTGAATATTTGCAAATGTTCTATTTTTAGAAAGTCAATAGTAGTGTAGATTTATACCAACAGTTTGTATACTTCTCAATCAGGAGTATGCATACATTTTTCTTCATAAGCATTTATGTGTTCACATTACACAAACCTTACAAACTGATTAGACTATGTTTAAAATTTACACATCTTTATTAGTTCTTAAGATCTTGACCTGGTGAATAGAAGCTACAGAAGCATATCCATTTGATGAGAGGATATAAGAACAATTTAAGGGCTATATACTTTGAAATACAGTATAAAAATTTGTTAGGCTCAAATTTTTATTTTTACTGTTTGAGATATTGATCCTCTAATGGCAAGGTGGAATAACTTAAAAAGGTGACAGCATTTTTAATTTTGCCACATTTTCATTTGGAAGTGGTATATTATGGAGTAAGATATGTAGGAAGAAATGAACTTCTTTAACTTGATGCATTCATTCATTGTCTGCTGTGAAAGCATGTGATATGGAGATTGTCTTCTCTACTTGTTCTAAAGACAAGCATTAAATAAGTATATAGCAGCTTAGTTCTCTATGCTATCTCCCAGCAGGGTGAAGAATGGTAAGCAACAACATATTTTCTTGTATTATTATAAAGCACTTTATTTTAATTTTTTATTAAATTTTTTTGAATAGGTAATACGTATATACATTAACCAAAAGGAAAAATGTGTTCTTCATGCAATGTTTCTCAACCTTTTATTCATTATTATCCTCTTAAGGAACCATTTTGGACTTTTTCCCCAAGTGCTCACTCTGGCATATTAAGAGATCTGCAGTACATGTGTTTATGTCCTGTATGTATATATAGATAGCTGCTTGATGAATAAAAAGAGATTTTTGTTGTCCTCTTAAAAATGTGCATGGTTCATAATGAGAAGGCTTCCACATACTCTTTTTCCATAGCCAGCTAGCTCTCCTTCTAGGCAACCATTATTCATCATTTTTTGGGGTATCCTAGGACTTAAAACACAGAAGAAAAGCTTTGTTGTTGGTATTGGCCACTGAGACCTTGGTTCCAAAGATGGTAGCAAAAATTTTCTTTCATTAGTAGTGCTTTTGTTAGAAGTCTAAATTTTATGAGAGAAAGTACCAACAAAATATTTCAATTTTTTATTAGGTTTTCTGAGGTGGGGTTTATGGAAGGAAGAATGGATTGAATGACAAGTGTCTGTGGTTGTATTTGTTTACTAGCAGTTGTATTTCATAGAATGTTAAAAAATTTTTACAGGAGCAGCGAATGAAAATTGACAGAGAATTTGCTTTATGGCTGAAGGACTGTCATGAAAAGTATGACAAACAAATTAAATTTACATCTTTCAAAGGAATAATTACACGTCCTGATCTTCCTTCTAAAAAGCAAGGCCCCTGGGCAACATACTCAGCAATAGAGTGGGATGGAAAAATATACAAAGCAGGACAGCTGGTAGGTTTAACTTATTTTTAGATTCAGTCATTAGTAGAATTTGAAACTAAATTAGATGTATTAGAATTTAACAATAACCAAAAATAATGCATATATTGGCTGGCTCCTCAGGAACAAAGAAAGAATGAAAAGGCCAAACTGATTTTAATTACATAATTTAGCATGGCATTTTTTTTTAAACCCGTTTGTTGCCAAATGCTCAATTAGCAAGGTTTTTATTGTTTCTTACACTAAACTGCTGAGATGAAGAGTCTCAAATTTTTTTTTATGTGATATGAAGTAATGATTTTTTAGTAAATTTTTGTTGAGTACTTGTTGCTTATAAGTTAACTCTGCGTATTGACTGCATTGTGGAGGATGCAGAAATCCAAGAGATGTGTCTTGTGAGATATATTACAGTCTAAAAATGGAAATAATCCAAACATAAATAGTAATAGGTAAGGGGATAAGTGCTATGAATAGAGAGGATGAATACTGTTTGGGCAGTTTAGGAGAGGAGAGAATTTTCTGACTTTGGATGGGGCTGGGATGAGAGAGGAAATTCTGAACTTCTTTGGGCAAGAGGTGACATTTGTATGGTCCTTGAAAGAGGTAGAGGCATGCGTTTACACAGATAATTATAAGTGTAGAAGGGCGTCCATGCACTCCATAAATGGGAGAATCATTATGTAAATATTTAAAGCCTTCGAATTGGATGTGATTACCTATAAGTAGTATGGTTAGTTAGAGCCTGGCTTTTCCAACATTCAGGGGTTAGCATTAAAAGGATGAACTGGCAGAGGAGAACAAAAGGGATAAGCTGGTAAGAGAAGGAAACTAGGAAACTTCATGGTATCCCTGAAGTCAAGTGAAAAGTCACAAAAAGGAGGGAGCGATCTGTTTTCTCTAATTCTGTGTGGTGGCTGAGTAAAATGCTTTGTCAGGAATGATAATCTGAGCATAGACAAAGACATAGGTGAGTGCAAGGAAACAGCAAGTATTAAGTTGGGTTGTTCTGTGTCTGTGTGAAAAGAAGTAGTTGAGAAATGAGGTTGAGGGTAAACTCTTGTAGCCCTTGTTGGAACTTTCTGAATTGGGCTAATAGAAATTACCCTTAGACTTTTCACCCAACTCAGGAAAGCCAATATCATAGGCAAGTTTTGAGCTAATTTAGATGAAAGAAATGGTAACTGGTCAGAGTTTATAAGTCACTGCTCATAGTCTGAAAGCAAGATTTTAAGGGGGAAAAGGTTTAACTTTGAAGGAGTATTAGACCTTCTACACACATGCATAGCTATGACATTTTTATATGAAGAAACCCCTGTATCTCTACAAAGATATGTTAATAAGTGGAGAATCTCACAAATACAACTTCATTGGAATATTGAATGCTTTTTTCATTAATTTTTCATTAGTACCAAGTTTTTTTCCTTATATAAAATAGTTCTGTGAAATAATATTGAGCTGTTTCTCTAAGTAAATATTAATACTAAAACCTTATTAAAAACTATTAGGTCAAGACGATCAAGACACTTCCTCTCTTTTATGGAAGCATAGAAAAGTTTTTTCTTTATGGTGATCATGATGGAGAAGTGTATGCTACAGGAGGAGAGGTTCAAATTTTAATGGTAAGACAGCAACTAATGAAAAATGTTTATTCAAAGTCTTAGTACTACTTAAAGTGTTGAAATAAAGATACAGTATTTGATATTTCTCTTACATTTGGTTTTTCCATTGGATAAAGTAGTGTTAGCATGAATTTTTATGTTTCATACTTGGTATTTTAAATAATCTAGAGAATTTTGCATCAGTATGCCCAATGTCTAACAAATAATACGTTATTGCTAGTTGTCACAGTAATGTTGTAAAGTGTATGTTTTGTCCAAGGCCCGGAAACTGGTAAACATTGGAACCAAAATTCTATTTTAAGAATGAATAACTCCAGAACTGGAGTGGGTTTTGTCCCTTATAACATGCTTTTTGAATATTTAAATAGTAATTAATTAGGCCTAAGGAGGTTACATGAAAAATGGAAATAAACACTGTGGTATAGTGTAATATTAGCTATTATGATTTATATACTTAATTGGGGTAAAATATATTTCTTTGAGAGAATGAATGTTTCGCAGCTAAATTAGTTTTTTTTGAAATGTTGGTATAAAATTTTTTTATTCAGGAACCTCAGGCATTGTATGATGAAAAAAGAACTGTGCCAATTGCAAAGCTGGATAGGACAGTTGCTGAGAAAACTGTAAAAAAATATGTAGAAGATGAAATGGCAAGGTAATTCATAATAGAAGATGCAGGATGTGAATAACAAGAAAAATAAAAGAGAAATCATGGTGTTTTTAACAATTCTTGAGTGTTCTTGTTATATTCTTCCAATAGGGCATTTAGTAGTTTTAAATAAATATGTTGTGACAAACTTACTGTCATTAAAAAAAAAAATGACAGCTCTAATTATGAAAGCCAAATCCTATATTTGTTTTGTAGTAAAAGGAAATTCTATGTGTTGAAAGTGTCATTACAGGCACTGTGATTCAGGTATGTTAAAAAAAAACTTGGTTTGAGCTATAACTAGAAGAAAATTGTACTAACTGTTGGGAGGGAAAGATTAATTAAGAAGAAGTAAAGGAAGTAGGAAAACAGAACTTTTGTTTGTAGCTCTTTAATAGCTAATGATACTGTCATTTTGATTCTTACTGAATCTCACTGATAATGTGTACTGCAAAGGAGTGGGAAAAAAATCACAAAAAATCGATTATTCTGGTAGTTCGTACCAAAACATTTTGTTTGTTTTTTTCAGTAGCCATACAATGGTTGGGGGGGGGAATTTTTTAGATACTTAATCATACAGAATTGCAGATTTAATCTTTGAAAATATATCAGAAATAAACATTAAAGTTTCTAGTAAGTTTTATTTTTCTAATTAAGACCGTAATTAACATAGTTCATAAAATGTTAATATGCTGGTTTCATAATAGGCTTCCTGATAGATTGTCAGTAACTTGGCCTGAAGGAGATGAATTATTGCCAAATGAGATTAGGCCTGCTGGAACCCCCATAGGTATGTTTTTGTTTTTGTTTTTCTTAGTACTGAAAGATGTGCTTTCTGTGTGTCTTACCTTTCCAATATGTGAAAGGCCATGAAAAATTACAATCTAATTCAAGACCTTACAGATTCATTAGATTATTTTGGTGTAACTAAGACATTCTTATTTTAAATTTTGGACTAATAGGTGCATTAAGAATTGAAATACTGAATAAAAAAGGGGAAGCAATGCAAAAGCTTCCAGGAACAAGTCATGGAGGGTCAAAGAAACTTCTGGTTGAGCTCAAAGTTATACTACACTGTAAGTATGTGAATTAATTTGTTTATTTAATATTATTCTTAAATGTGGAATACAGGTTTTAATATCTTTATATAATCATCAACACCTAACAATCTGATAGACACAGTGGATTTGCTTAAAAGTTAGGAATTTCAAGTGTGTTATTTTTCTGTTTTTTTTTAACACTTCATACTGAATTTTCTCACATAGGTAACTATGAGCCTAAGTAAATATTTGGTGTATATATGTAAAAGAATTTGTACTGGGTAGGATTTTAGATTATGTAATCCTTAAGATCCCTTCTAAGTCAAAATCCTAAGGCTGTGAACCTGTGGGGCAGAAGTACTTGGTTCTGATAATAGGCCTGGTGAAGGGAAGAGAACTGGGTATTATGGCTCATTTGGTAGTTCCCTAATTTGAATCACCTTGTTTCTTGTCCACTGTTTTTGTCTTGACTGCCTAAAAGTATTTTCACCTTATATTTTCAATAATCTGTTCCGTCACTATGTACTTGTGTGTCCGTTCCATTGATTTTGAAGATACAGTATTTTGCTCAGTATGTATTTATTTTCAACATTTAAAATTAGTCAGTGATAGTGTATATTTAGTATAAACATATTGTTAGGACTCAGTAGCATTGAACAGTTTTGAATAATTTATTTTACTGATATACTCTCTTATTTTTAGCCTCTGTAACACCCTGGATTTTTCCTTTTTGTGTGTGTGTGCGGCTTAAAACAACACACATTTATAATCTTAGAATTCTGTAGATCATACATCCTAGACAGGTTTCACTGGCTAAAATCAAAGTGTCAGCAGGATTACATTCCTTCTGGAGGCTTGCTTTTTCTACCTTCTAGGAGCTGCCCACATGCCTAGGCTTGTGGCTCCTTCCTCCATCTTCAAAGCTGGCCGTGTAGCATTTTCCATCTCTGTGACTCTGGCCTTCCTGCCTCCCTTGTACTGAAAAAATATATATATATATTTTTTTTAATTGAAAAAAGAGTTCCTGTGGTAAAATATATATAACAAATTTACCATGTTAGCTAACCATTTTAAAATGTATAGTTCAGTGGCATTGAATATGTTTGTATTCTTGAGCAACCATTACCACTATCCATCTCCAGAATGTTTTCATCATTTCAAACTGAAACTCTATTGTAACCCATTATTCCCTCCCCACATGCTCTACTTTCTGTCTCTGAATTTGACTATTTTAGGTATCTCACATAAGTGGAATCATACAATATTTGAATTTTGTGTCTAGCTTATTTTACTTAGTGTAACATCATCACATTGCATCCATGTTGAAGCATCCATGTTTTTTTTTTGGCTGAATGATATTCCATTGTGTGTATATACCATGTTTTATTATCCATTCATCAGTGAATGCTTGGGTTTCTTTCACATTTTAACTATTGTGAATAATGCCACTGTGAACATTGGTGTACAAATGTCTCTTTGAGTGTGTGATTTCAATTTTTTTGAATATATACCCTGCTGTGGAATTGCTGGATCATATGGTAATTTGAGGAATTGTCACACTCTTTCCACAGTGGCTGCGTAATTTCACATTCCTATCAGCAGTGCACACAGGTTCCAGTATCTCCACATCCTTCCCATACTTTTCTTCCCATCCTTCACTTATTTTCTTTTTGCTGGGTTTGTTTTATTTTGTTTTTTGATAGAAGTCACCTTCATTGGTGTGAAGGCTATCTTGTAGTTTTGATTTGCATTTCCCTAGTGATGAGCGAAATTAAGCATCTTTTTGTGTGCTTGTCTGTCATCCCTTTATGTTCTTTGAAGAATGCCTATTCAACTCCTTCACTCATTTTTCATTCAGATTGTTTTTTGCTGTTTTTGACTTACAGAAGTTCTTTATATGTTTTGGATAATAATCCTTTATCAGATACTGTATGATTTGCAAGTATTTTCTTCCAAATGTTTTCTCATCCTGTGAATGGTGTTCTTTGAAGCAGAAAATGTCTAGTTTGTCTATTTTTGCTCTTGTTGCCTGTGCTTTTGGTATCATATACAAGAAGTCATTGCCAAATGACAAAACATTCTTAAATGTTTATTTCTAAGAGTTTTATAGTTTTAGCTCTTAAATTTAGTTCTTTGATCCATTTTGAGTTTATCCGTTATAAGTTAACTTCTTTTGCATGTGAACATGGAGTTTTCCCAGCACTATTTGTCAAAAAGACTGTCCTTTCCACATTGAATGGTCTTGGAATCCTTATAAAAAATCATTTGACTATATATGCAAGGGTTTATTTCTGGGCTTTCTGTTTTATTCCATTGGTACATGTCTGTCCTTAAGCCAATACCACAGTGTTTTGATTATTATAGCTTTGTAGTAAACTTTGAAACCAGGAAGTGTGAGTCCTCCAACTTTGTTCATCTTTTTCAAATTGTTTTGGTTATTTGGGTCCTTTGAGATTCCATATGAATTTAGAATGGGTTTTCTATTTCCACAAAAAAATGACATTGGGATTTTGATAGGTATTATACTGAATCTGTAGATTAATTGGGTATTATTGTCATTTTAATAATCTATGAGCATTATTTTGTATTTTGCAAGTTTACTGAATTTATTAGTTGTAACAGTCTTTTTTTGTGGAATCATTAGGGTGTTTTACATATACAATCATGTCATCAGTGAACAGATAATTTCACATCTTCCTTTCCAAAATGGATTCCTTTTCTTTCTTTCTTTTCTTTTTTTTCCCTAATTGCTCTAACTAGGACTTCCAATAAAAACGGTGAAAGCAGGCATCCTAGTTTTATTCCTTGTCTTAGAGGTAAAGCTTTCAGACTTTCATTGTTGAATATGATGGTAGCTCTGGGCTCTTCTTAACTCTGTGACTCCACACATGACCTAGCCCTGTCTCCCTCTTCAACTTTATCTGATACCATTTTCAACCTCACTGTCTGTATTCCTGGTCATAATTGCTGTCTTTCTGTTCCATACAAGCCCAATTTTCCCACCTTTGGACCTTTATGTTTGTTTTCATATAACTTTTAAGTATCAAACCTTTGTCAAAGTTATTTATTTTTCAAGTTTCAAATTGAGTCAGTTTGTCAGAGAGGAATCTAATAATAATGATAGATATTTTCTACTTTTTCTAGTTTCATATTCATTTCCTTATATTTATTTGTATAACTGGAAATTCTGTTATTTCTTAAATATGCCTTTGTTCTCTCGAACAAGGGGAGAGCTGTTTGTAGAGGATCAGGCAGTAAATATTTAGGCTTCTAGTGCCGTAAGTTCTTTATTGCAACTACCTAACTGGCATTCTAGAATGCAGACAGCCATAAACAATAGTTTGCAGACCCCTTGCTCTAGAAGATAGAAGCTCCATGACAGCAAGAATTTTATTTTCTTTTTTCTAGTGCCTAGCATGGGAGGTAATTTGTTAACAAAAAGGTTAAAGTGTTCGTTGAATTAAATACATAAGGAATACAAGATGCTTGGTCTTTTCTAGAGAACTTCTGAAGGTTGTTCACTCCCTAATTTCCATTACTAATTTATAATTGCAACATTTTTTTTAAGTGAAATTTTTTTATTATGAATGAAACAAAGAAGAATTCTGTAAGGGCCCTAATAAATATATCTAATATGGGTACATACGTATATATAAACCCGATACAATTATTGAAAAAGAACACTTGCTTCACATGTTCTTTTTGTGCTTGAATCTCAAGTGCATGCATCTCTAAAAACATACGTTTTTCAGTTATCACAGCAATTCCTTAGTATCATCTAATACCTAGACCAACTTTAATTTCCCTGATTTTCTAAAATGACAACCTTTTATGGTTGTTTTTTTTGGTTTCAGGCACATGTATTACTTTCAGTTATTATATGTTTTCTTAAGTCTCCTTTTTTCCAAAGTAGAGACACTTCTTCCTTTTTTTTCCATGCCAGTGATTTGCTGATAAAACCCAGTCACTTGTACTGTAGAGTGAGTGTTTCACATATTCCTGTTTGTTTCTTGGAGATGTCATTTAACTTGTTCCACTATTTGTTCTCTTCCTTGGAAATGAGAAGTTAGCCCTAAAAGCTTGAATAGATTGGGATTTACCACTTTTTTCCCTGGAAGCAAAGAATCAGTACTTACAATTAATCTGTATTTCGTATAGTATTGTATCAAAAGGCACATGATGTTCCATGTGAAGTGCTGGGGTGGATCATGGAATTCACTGGGCGAATGTGATTATAGTACTCCTTTCACCTATCATGGGATGGTCTCATCCATTCATGTTTTTTGCTTGAATTAGTTATTTGGTATGCAAAATGATAAATTTTTTTTCCTCATTCTTTGATTCCTTCCTAATTGATTATCTAGAACTCATCTATGAAGAGATTTCCTTTATCAAGCAGGGTCATCGGTTTATTGTGAAGCACAGCTTTTACAGGAAAGGCAACATAAAGGCTTAATTCTTTTACTTTAATTGTAAATTAGCAGTGAGGAATTGGTGTTGTACAATAATGCCAATGATTATTAGTTTTGGTGAATTTATGGGGTTTTGTATATTTTAACATGCTTCATTCATTTTGATATGCCTTCATTGTTGGCTTCTTTGTTTTCTTGATGTGATACTTTTTGTCTTTGATAGGAGCTCTTTTGATTTCTGACTCAAGATATGCTAGAATCTTCTTGTACATGTTCTACCCTAGACCTGGATTCAGACATTAATCCTGGTTCCTTTTGTGAGGAATGGCAGTTAGAGGTCATAATCTGTTAGGATTGCCACTGGGTGAAAGTGCTTCTGAGTTTTTCTGTTGATAGTTAAACATGAATATTTTTGGAAAAGAAATGGATTCTTATTGGTATTTTGGGTTTTTACTTCACCACTTTTGATTTTATGCATTTATTTCACTTCTTGTTGAAAATCTGGATTCTTAACTTAACAATTACTTATTTGCTTTTTCCTACATTTAATTTGAAATTAATACTGATAGAATTACTAATAATCAGACTGTTGAATTAGATTTGACTTCTTTGTAACTGTTTGTCCTTAAAATATATTTCTCTCTGATTAAGTAGTAAAAATTATTCTAAAGTCACTTGAAACAATGCTCTCTTTAAAAATGTGATCATATCACCTACCTGATGTGCATTTTGGTTTTTTTTTTAATGAGTTTCTGTATTTTAATTCCATTTTTTGAATATTTAAAACATTTTCATAATTCTAAAGTCAAAAATAAATAAAAAGTAATATTTCAGAGAGGTCATGTCATCCCTATACTCTGTTTTCTTTCTCTTTTAGGTAATAGTTTTATTAGTTTTTGGCTTACCATTTCTGTTTCCTGTTAAAACGCCAAGCAAGAAGTGTACTTCTGTTTCTTCTCCTTCCTTTTAAAAAAGATAGTATATTTTATTTATTGATGTGTTTTTATTGCTTGCTTTTTCTTCTTAACAGTAAATCACTAGATCTTAGAGATTACTGTATATTAAAGTATGCTATTTTACTTTTAAAGAAAACTTTTAAGGAAAATGATTTTTAATATCAAAGTAAAATCTGTGTTCTGTTATCAGTTAAGCTTATTTACAGATGCATTTTTAAGAATTGAAGTAAAGGAATTTTAATCAGCTGAATGAGTACATTTTCATTATGCTGTTCACTTGCATAGGATTACTTTAGATTTTTGGAAGTTTCAAAACAATTTTTTTTTTTTGTATCATTACTCTACAATTACATGAGGAACATTATGTTTACTGGACTCCCCCCATCACCAATTCCGCATTGCAGTCATTGTCCATCAGCGTAGTAAGATGTTGTAGAATCACTACTTGCCTTCTCTGTGTTGTACAGCCCTCCCCATGCACCCCCCCGCCCCCCGCACATTATACGCATAATGCCGCATATCTCCCCCTCCACCCTTATCCCTCCCTTCCCACCTGTCCTCCCCAGTCCTTTTTCCTTTGGTAACTGTTAGTCCATTCTTGGGTTCTGTGAGTCTTTTGGAGTTCAAAACAATTTCTAGAAAGGTATAGCAAAAATATGTGATGTCAGTGTGACGTTTCATATTTATTTTCTATATTCAGTTTCTCAAGGTATAAATGTTTCTTTTTTCCTTTTATTAAGCCTCAAGTGGAAATAAAGAAATCATTTCACATATTAGTCAACATGGAGGAAAATGGCCTTACTGGTTTAAAAAAATGGGTGAGTTATTCTGAATGTTAAAGATTATATCAGTATTATATAGACTTGATTTTTAATTTCTTCTTTATTTATCCAGAAAATATTCAAAAGTTGGGGAATTATACCTTGAAATTACAAGTTGTATTGAATGAAAGTAATGCAGACACTTATGCAGGAAGACCACTACCATCTAAAACAATTAAATTTTCTGTTAAAGGTAAGCAAACATGAATACATAACCATGTGTGCTATATAGTAGGATATTTTAAATCAAGTCGGAATAGATAATTTAATAAAAAATGTTGACCCAATATTTATAAAGTCTTGATTTTAAAATGGCTTTATTATTTTGCTTGATAATCATATTCCTTCTAAACTTTGAAGGTATCATTATTTTCTGCATTCTGTTGTTAGTAAAATCTAAAGTTATTCTGATTCCTGACCTTCACCTGAGAGCCCCTCTGCTCTCCTCCACCCCCATCTTCCCTCTTCCCTAATCCCCAGATGCTTGGAGAATGTTTTTGTTGTTCCTGTTTCTGAAATTTTAAACTCTACAAATTTTTCCTGAATTATTTTGATTTCCTACTCTGTTCGTTCTTTCTACACTATCTAATACTAAGACACTGAACCTATTGACGGGTATACTAATATTTCTTTTTTTTCTACTTTCCATTCTTGGTTTTATTATTCTCCTTTATGGGAGATTACCTTAATGTGGTTTCTTCGTGCTGTCTAGTTTCTGAAATCTCCTTTATTCTCTAGTTATCCCTTTTTCAAAGTATTGTCATTCTTCTTCATGGATTCAGTGTTTTTTATTAATTCCCTGAGGCTAGTAGTAATAACGGCAGGTTTTCTTGAAGATTTTGAACTTTATTCATATGGTCTGTTCCCTTCATGTTACTTTTTTGTGTGTTTGCTCTGGGTTTTTCATGTTAGATGCTCTCTTACATGGCTAGTGATTTGCTTACATTTAAGAATAGAACATTGGAAAGCTTTTATTTCATTTGGGGAGATTATGGTATGAGACTTTAGTTTTTCTTTCTGACTATTCAGAGTCCCCAGATTGGAGCGTTCCATTCTCCTGCCAGGAGTGTAAACACCTAGCTGCCAGCATTTTGGGAACCAAGCTGGGGAAGACTTTTGGGGGTCTTAGATTTAGTATATCATCTTTCACTTGATTTTCCTATTTTCAGTAAACTCTGACGCTGTTAGTAGTGCTGTGTAGCCCTCTAGCCCTACTTTTTTACCTGCCCCAGAGAATAACCTTCCATCTCTTGCTGGGGATGAGGAAGGCAGTTGACTGGCTCTATGTCTTGAGAGGTGGGGTCAGGGGAACTATTTCTTAAACAGACTTCCACAGGTCTTCCTTTTTTTAGTACAATTTCATTCCAACCTGATATAGCCATTTGTGAGACTTTGGGATTTGCTCTTGTGTGAATTAGATTGGTTCTCTGCTTCCTTTGTTGATGATTGAGGATTTGATGTTCTTGGATCTTTCTGCTCAGTCATTACACCTAACCATATATTCTCCAACTTAAAAATTCTATTAATGATTGTCATGTTTCTTGGCTCTTTGTAAGTTTAGGCCTCTTAAAAAAGATCTCTGTAGTGTCATTTTTATGGGGTTTTTGGAGAGAGCTGAGCTAGGTGCATATGATGACCTTGCCGTTAATCAGATTGTCCTTTGTGTACACATCTACACATTCTTTTAATGGCTGTGGAACACATTCCCTCATGTGTACATGCTATAATTTAAGCAGTTTTCTGTTGATAAACACTTTTTTTTGGTTTCCAATTTTTTTTTACTATTCCAAGCCATATTTCCATATGGAAAAAAATTATGCTGCTTTGTGTACATGTTCTAGAATTTCTCTAGGGTGGATACCATACAGTAGAATTGCCAAGGTGAAGTATATATGCTTTAACATTTTAATTATGTTTATTGTCAATTTGCCTTCCCAAAATATTGTGCCAGGGTACCTTTACCCTGGCCTTTACCAACAGACTGTGAGAATTCCATGGTCCTTATGCTCATTCCTGACTGACCTGTATATTTATTAATCCTAGTTGGTAGTTAAATTATTTATTTAATTATTAGGTTGTGCACCTTTTCTAGCCTTTATTGGCACTGTGCACTGTATGATCTCTGAAAGTCTATTCATTCACTATGCCCATTTTACTAGTTTAAAGCTGTGATTCTCAGATTGAGTTTGTATGTGAGTCACCTTCAACGCTTATTAAAACAGACTGCTGGGCCCTCACTCCCAGAGTGTCTGACTCAATAGGTTTGAGGTGAGCTCTAGAATTTGCATTTCTAGTAATTTCTCAGTGGATGGCTGAAACTGTCAGACTAGAGATCACACTTTTGAGAACTGTTGGCTTATAGGAGGTTTTTATATAGTCTGGAATTTTAATCCTTTGTGCATGTTGCAGGTATTTCCTTATATAAATTATCTCTTTAAATTTTGTTTATTGTGCCTAATAAGATATTTTAAACTTTATCAAATATATTATTCTATAGCTTTTGAGTACAATATTATCCCAGATCCATGGGAGATAGGTTCCAAGACCACCCCCAGAGGGTGCTTGAAACTGAATAGTACCAAATACTATATGCTATGTTTTTCCTTATACATACATACCTATGATAAAGTTTAATGTATAAATTAAACAGATTAACAATAATTAATAAGAGAGAACATTTATAACAATATAGTGTAATAGTTATATGAATGGTCTCTCTCTGAATATCTTAATGTGCTGTACTCATCCTTCTAGTGATATGAGATGATAAAGTGCCCCATGCAATGAGATGAAGTGAGTTGAATGATGTAGGCATTTTGTCTAAGCGTTAGGTTACTATTGACCCTCTGACAATATAATGGGAAACTAAAACTATGGATAATGAGGAACTGCTGTATTGTGTTTAGCCTTAGCTTTCCCTATGATTCTTATTAAATTATAATAATTTCATTGTTTAAAAACATTAATCTCTACCTCTAGAATTTTACTTTTATGTATGGTGTGAGATAAAGATCTACCTATTATTTTTCCAAGTGGGTTATAGATGCATACATTTCTCAGATTTAAATTACTGTCTTTATCACAGTCTAATTTCCTGTATATAAGGTGATCTGTTTCTGACCTACAGTGAATTTTCTGACCAATAATTTGCTTTTCATGTTTACTCTTTTTAAAGAGGGTAAGCCAGAGAAATTCTCATTTGGTCTTCTGGATTCTCCTTTTCGTGTTGGAGTGCCGTTCAATATCCCCCTGGAGTTTCAGGATGAATTTGGTCATGCTAGTCAACTAGGAAATGATATTCAGCCAGTTTTTGAAGCAAGGTAATTTGAAGGATCTACTTATATTTGGCTTTTCATATTTGCTAAGCATTTACTTTCTTTTTTTAACTTAGATTATTGGTATGTTGTTAACTTCAGATTTATCATTTAAAATGTTTAGTGGATTTTATGATATCTGGGATTTACTTAGCCCCATGCTATGCTCTGTGACTATAGTATGATATATAAATTGCTTCACTAAAGTTTATGTTTTGATTGAATTTACTGTAAAAGTTGTTCAGGTGAGAATGGTAGTTTTCTCTCTCACCCATTTCTTTTAGCAAATATGATACGAAGTTATGGCCATTTAAACTTGTATTGCCTACTAGTAGGTTTTTTTTTTTCATTTTGTTACCATTAATCTACAATTACATGAAGAACATTATGTTTACTAGACTCCCCCCTTCACAAAGTCCCCCCTACAAACCCCATTACAGTCACTGTCCATCAGCCTAGTAAGATGCTGTAGAATCACTACTTGTCTTCTCTGTGTTGCACTTCCCTCCCTGTGCCACCCCCCACATTATACATGCTAATTGTAAGGCCACCTTTCTTTTTCCCTGCCCTTATCCCTCCCTTCCCACCCATCCTCCCAAGTCCCTTTCCCTTTGGTAAGTGTTAGTCCATTCTTGGGTTCTGTGATTCTGCTGCTATTTTGTTCCTTCAGTTTTTCTTTGTTCTTATACTCCACATGTGAGTGAAATCATTTCGTACTTGTCTTTCTCCGCCTGGCTTATTTCACTGAGCTCCATCCATGTTGTTGCAAATGGTAGGATCTGTTTTTTCCGTATGGCTGAGTAGTATTCCATTGTATATATGTACCACATTCTCTTTATCCATTCATCTACTGATGGACATTTAGGTTGCTTCCGTATCTTGGCTATTGTAAATAGTGCAGTGAAAAGCATAGGGGTGCATCTGTCTTTTTCAAACTGGGCTGCTGCATTCTTAGGGTAAATTCCCAGAAGTGGAATTCCTGGGTCAAATGGTATGTCTATTTTGAGCATTCTGATGTACCTCCATACTGCTTTCCACAATGGTTGAACTAATTTACATTCCCACCAGCAGTGTAGGAGGGTTCCCCTTTCTCCACAACCTCGCCAACATTTGTTGTTGTTTGTCTTTTGGATGGTGGCGATCCTTACTGGTGTGAGGTGATATCTCATTGTGGTTTTAATTTGCATTTCTCTGATGACTAGTGATGTGGAGCATCTTTTCATGTGTCTGTTGGCCATCTGAATTTCTTCTTTGGAGAACTGTCTGTTCAGCTCCTCTGCCCATTTTTTAATTGGATTATTTGCTTTTTGTTTGTTGAGGTGCATGAGCTCTTTATGTATTTGGGAAGTCAACTCTTTATCAGATCTGTCATTTATGAACACATTCTCCCATACTGTAGGCTACCTTTTTGTTCTATTGATGGTGGGTTCTATTGAGGTTCTATTGATACCTTTTTGTTCTATCTTACCCGGGGAGATATGTTCATGAAGAGAAGCCACTCATGTTTATGTTCAAGAGATTTTTGCGTATGTTTTTTCTAAGAGTTTTATGGTTTCATGACTTACATTCAGGTCTTTGATCCATTTTGAATTTGTTTTTGTGTATGGGGTTAGACAGTGATCCAGTTTCATTCTCTTACATTTAGCTGTCCAGTTTTGCCAGCACCATCTGTTGAAGAGACTGTCATTTCCCCATTGTATGTCCATGGCTCCTTTATCATATATTAATTGACCATATGTGTTTAGGTTAATGTTTGGAGTCTCTATTTTGTTCCACTGGTCTGTGGCTCTGTTCTTGTGCCAGTACAAACCAGTCTTAATTACTCTGGCTTTGTAGTAGAGCTTGAAGTTGGGGAGCGAGATCCCCCCCATTTTATTCTTCCTTCTTAGGATTGCTTTGGCTATTCGGGGTCTTTGGTGTTTCCATATGCTTTTTTGAACTATTTGTTCCAGTTTGTTGAAGAATGCTGTTGATAATTTGATAGGGATTGTATCAAATCTGTATATTGCTTTGTGCAGGATGGCCATTTTGACGATATTAATTCTTCCTAGCCAAGAGCATGGGATGAGTTTCCATTTGTTAGTGTCCTCTTTAATTTCTCTTAAGAGTGTCTTACAGTTTTCAGTATATAGGTCTTTCACTTCCTTGGTTAGGTTTATTCCTAGGTATTTTATTCTTTTTGATGCTGTTGTGAATGGAATTGTTTTCCTGATTTCTTTCTATTAGTTCATTGTTGGTGTATGGGAAAGCCACAGATTTTGGTCTGTTAATTTTGTATCCTGCAACTTTGCTGAATTCCGATATTAGTTCTAGTAGTTTTGGAGTGGAGTCTTCAGGGTTTTTTATGTACAATATCATGTCATCTGCAAATAGTGACAGCTTAACTTCTTCTTTGCCAATTTGGATTCCTTGTATTTCTTTGCTTTGTCTAATTGCCATGGCAAAGACCTCCAGTACTATGTTGAATAACAGTGGGGAGAGTGGGCATCCCTGTCTTGTTCCCGATCTCAGAAGAAAAGCTTTCAGCTTCTCACTGTTCAGTATTATGTTGGCTGTGGGTTTATCATATATGGCTTTTATTATGTTGAGGTACTTGCCCTCTATACCCATTTTGTTGAAAGGTTTTATTGTGAATGGAGGTTGAATTTTGTTGAATGCTTTTTCAGCATCTATGGAGATGATCATGTGATTTTTATCCTTCTTTTTGTTGATGTGTGATGGATGATGTTGATGGATTTTCGAATTGTTGTACCATCCTTGCATCCCTGGGATGAATCCCACTTGGTCATGGTGTATGATCCTCTTGATGTATTTTTTGATTCGGTTTGCTAATATTTTGTTGAGTATTTTTGCATCTACCTTCATCAGGGATATTGGTCTGTAATTTTCTTTTTTGGTGGGGTCTTTGCCTGGTTTTGGTAATAGGGTGATGATGTTGGGTTCATAGAACGAGTTTGGGAATATTACCTCCTCTTCTATTTTTTGGAAAACTTTAAGGAGAATGGGTATTATATCTTCTCTATATGTCTGATCCAATTCCGAGGTAAATCCATCTGGCCCGGGGGTTTTGTTCTTGGGTAGTTTTTTGATTACCGCTTCAATTTCATTGGTGGTAGTTGGTTAGTTTAGATTTTGTGTTTCTTCCTTGGTCAGTCTTGGAAGGTTGTATTTTTCTAGGAAGTTGTCCATTTCTTCTAGGTTTTCCAGATTGTTAGCATATAGGTTTTAATAATAGTCTCTAATAATTGTTTGTATTTCTGTGGGGTCTGTCGTGATGTTTCCTTTCTTGTTTCTGATTCTGTTGGTGTGTGTTGATTCTCTTTTTCTCTTAATAAGTTTGGCTAGAGGTTTATCTATTTTATTTTCTCAAAGAACCCGCTCTTGATTTCATTGATTTTTTCTATTGTTTTATTCTTCTCAATTTTATTTATTTCTTCTCTGATCTTTATTATGTCCCTCTTTCTGCTGACTTTAGGCTTCATTTGTTCTTCTTTTTCCAATTTCGAGTAATCTTGGTTCCTGGCCCTTCTGCTTCATGGCATTAAATACATCATGCCACTCCTTTCTGTCCTGTAAGGTTTCTGCTGAGAAGTCTGATGTTAGCCCAATGGGCTTTCCTTTGTATGTGATCTTATTTCTGTCCCTGGCTGCTTTTAACAGTCTGTCCTTTTCCTTGATCTTTTCCATTTTTATTACTATGTGTCTTGGTGTTGTCTTCCTTGGGTCCCTTGTGTTGGGAGATCTGTGGATCTCCATGGCCTGAGAGACTATCTACTTCCCCAGATTGGGGAAGTTATCAGCAACTACCTCCTCAGAGACACTTTCTATCCCTTTCTCTCTCACTTCTTCTGGTATTCCTATAATGTGAATATTGTTCTGTTTGGATTGGTCACACAGTTCTCTCAATATTCTTTCATTCTTAGAGATCCTTTTTCCTCTCTGTACTTCAGCTTCTTTGTATTCCTTTTCTCTAATTTCTATTTCATTTATCGTCTCCTCCACCGTATCCCACCTGCCTTTAATACCCTCCATCGTGCTCTTCAATGATTGGATCTCCGACCTGAAGTCATTCCTGAGTACTTGGATGTCTTTCCGTACCACCATTAGCATGTTGATGATTTTTATTTTGAACTCCCTTTCAGGAAGAGTCAGGAGGTCCATCTCATTTCAATCTTTCTCGGGAGTTGTATTAATAATTTTACTCTGGACCAGGTCTCTTTGGCAGTTCATATTTGTATATGGCGCCCTCTTGTGTCCAGAATCTCTATTCTGGAGCTGCTCAGCCCCTGAAGCAATGTCACGGGTCGCAGGGGAGTGGTATTGGTGGTGCCTGGGGGGAGGAAAGAGCTGTTCCCCGCTTCCTGGCTCCTGTGCCTGTCTCTACTGCTTTAACCAGTGGGCCGAGCACACAGATACAAGTTTTTGTTCCAGAGCAGCCGGATATGAATCCCTGCTTTCCACAAGCAGCCAGAATCCCAGTCTCCCCAGGTACTCCACCTGTCCCAGCTTTCCAACCCTGTAATCAGAAGAGTATGGTGAAAGCACCATAAAATGTAGGTTTGTGCTCCCAGCTCAGATCTCTGGAGCTAGGTATTCAGCGGTCCCAAGCCTTCCACTCCCTCCCTGCTCAGTTTCTCTTCCTCCCACCGGTGAGCTGGGATGGGGGAGGGGCTCGTGTCCCGCGGAACCACAGCTCTGGTACGTTACCCCGTTCAGTGAGGTCTGATCTTTTCTCCAGGTGTATGCAGTCTGGTGCCGCCCTCTTTCCTGTTGCTCTCTCAGGATTAGTTGTGCCAACTATATTTTCTAATTGTATCGAGTTTTAGGAGAAAGCCTCTCTCTCTCTCCTCTCATGCTGCCTTCTTTAATCCTCTCCCCTACTAGTAGGTTTTGGTTTGTTTTTAAAACCACAGCAATGAAGATTATGGTTTCCATAGAAATTTGAGTCTTTCTTTAGAAATTGCCTTTACTTAACAGCCTTTTAGAGTGATGTGATTGGCTTATATTATAAAATAGCTCTTTGAAACTTAGCCATGTTTCCAGTGATAGAATAGGATGTTCATTATTTTCCATTATGTCTTTCCGCGGCGCCTAGGGACAAATTCTTGTTCACACTGAAGAGCATGAATGCTAAGTGTTTCTTTTTTCCATTTTGGCAAATTTATCTTTTTGGGTCCACTTTTTATGTATGCTTTCTTCTGTTGTCTCTAAGTATTTTTTCCCTTGTGTTGTAGTTTTTTTTTAATCATTTGAGTATATACTATATTCCAGACATTTACTTACTAGAGATATATAATAGCATAGTACTTTAGGAGGTTACAGACTAGTGCGGTAAGTAGTTTAGCATTGAGATTTCTGCCATAGTTAAGATCCTGCAAAGCAATACATAGTTATAAAAAATATTCAAAAGTTTTTCAGTTTTATGTTCTCTTAAGTTGCAAAAAGTCATTCTTATTCTTGTGTTTTGACATAATGCATTCACATGAATAGTAAACAGTAATGGAATCAGTGAATACTTAAACATGTTTAAGAATAAAACACTAAGTATCTCATCTAGTCAGAAATGGAAAATATTAGTGCTTCAGTCAACACTTATTGTCTATCATGTCTTCCATCTTTTCCTTGATAGGATATTCTTACATACAAAATTTCTGTCGCATGTATATATTTATATTTCAGGTTTTACGCTTTTAAAACAAATTTGGTGGCATAGCCATGTAAGCTTATCTTCCGTAAAGTAAGACCATTGTCTGAGCGGGTTTCTTTATTGTTTTTGTTTTCCAGTGTTGTCTAAATTTTAAAAATTTATTTACACATAAAGCCATAAGAGTCAAATCATTTGGAAAGATTTACAAAAAGAGCAGTTCCTCCTCCCTGTGCCCTCTTCACCATACCTATAGTCACTTTTCAGAGACCACATTAAGTTTTTTCTACTTGAATCTTCTGGTAACTACTGCCATATATCTAAGTAAATTTTATATTGCTGCTTCTTAATTTTAGGCATTTAGTTTTAGGCATTCTCTCTTAATTTATGGCTATAGGAGGTAAGGACACATTTTCTTAGTGCCACTTGGGTTAAAAAAATCTTCTTATTTCCACATTCTTCATTAAAGTTATATTCTGGCTTGATTAGTATTTTATTTTATTACAGTCATGTAAATGCTAGTCATTATTTCCTGTACAACTTTGTTACTATACTTTTTCCTTTCAAAATTGATTACATATTAAACTCTAAACTCTGCCAGGTGTCTGGTGTCTTCTCAAGATGTTTAGGTGCACAGGTAATCTTGAAAACATGAATGTATGGGTTGTAGCCAATTATCGATATAAGGGAGAAAGATTTCCTTCAGCCTTACAATCTCTTTATCAGATTGTCAGTTTCATGTTCCTGGAGACATCTCCCTTGGAGCTTGCAATGTGTTCTAGTCGGCATGGATTGTTTTTATGCTTATTGTTGCCATCATTCTGGGATCTTCCTTCACCTTCATCTCGGAGATTCTCTTTGTCTTCTGTGTTGAGGAAATGTAATTAAATTTTTTCAACCTAGAAAACTTATGCACAGAGGTCAAAGAGAAAGAAAACAATTTTATTCTCAATTAAACATTAAACCAGAATGTGATACTCATCACAGGCAATCTGACAAAGAGATTGTAAAGGCTGCAGGAAATCTTTCTCCCTTATATCGATAAGTGGCTACAACCCATACATTCATGTTTTCAAGATCGAATTGTTGAATTTCTTTATTGTTGACTATAGGGTCTGCAATTCGGAGTCAGCTGACCAGAAGTTAGGCCCAGGAAACTGGGAGGTAGGGCCTACTTTCTTTGAGGACTATACTTCCGAGATGGCTCTCAGGTCCCCAAGAAAATATTCCTGAATTGCAAGACTTATTAAGTGGCTTATTTTATTGAATATGTAACTTTTCATGTTCTCCAGTTTTTTAAAGGAATCCCATGTCCCTCTTCCTTTTACTGAGACTAGTTTCCTAGTTTTCTAAGAAAGAGTACATGTGGGAAAAAATTATAGCTCTGGAAATGTCTGTTCTACTGAAATCACTGAATTGAAAGTTGGGTACTGTTTTCCATAAAATAATGAAAATGTAGCTTCATCTTTGCCTTGTAACTTCCCAGTATTACTGGAAGTTCATTTTGATTTTCCTCTTTGTACTTCTATGTATTCTCTCTGGAAGCTTATAGGATCTACTTTTAATTCTCAGCAAGGCAGGACTAGTACTACATCTTAATGTCAGTGTCTTCATTATTTGAAGTACTTTTTTCTCCACCGTCCATACTCACTGTTTCTTCTTTCTGGGATCCTTATTTGTATGTTATTGAAATTTCCAGACTTCTCTGATTTTCCTTTGTTCTTAATTTTATTTTTGTGTTTCTGCTTTACTTTCTGACATTTTTCTCAATTTTATCTTTACAATCCTTCTATAAAGTTTTCCTTTCTACTGTATTTTTAATGTCAAAGAATTCTTTTTGGTTCTCTAAATTTTCCTTTGTAGATCTTGTTCTCATTTAAGAATGTAATACTTTAACTGATAAATAAATGGTAGTTTTAAAATTAAACACCTTTACCCACACAGTTTCTTTTTGTTGTTTTTTTTTATATATATATCTCTTTTGTTTGGGTATCTGGTAATTATTGGTCCTCTGCTTTTAACTGAGTGGCTCAAATGTGGATGGGAAACTGAGAATGTGGACGAGGCTGTTAACTTGTGAATTCTACTATAGAAAATCTGTCTGTAATGCTTTGCTGGGAGGAAATCCTGTAATCATATCTTTAGATACTTCTTTTTGGGCTGGGAGGTTTTCTCAAAAATCTTGTCTCTGGCCTGGAGGGAATAGTTTGGCTGTCCAAGTTATCAGTCCAGAAACAAGACAGGAGGGGACTTGGGGTAAAATGGGGATGGGAAGGTCTCAGCATCCATGTGCATTCATTCAGGATTACAGTACCCCTTTTATTCTTTCAGTATTTTACCCTATCCTTCAAATAATCTGTGTACTACTTAAGAGATTCTGTGCTTTAATATTTTCAGAGAATAATCTCCCAGTCATCTGACAGAGGCAGAGGGGAAATCTGGACACCTTTTTCTTTTCTGCCCCCCACTTCAAGAGGCACATAGTACTACCAATTCCTGAATGGTCCCTAGGAATTCTGTGGTATAAATTGATGTCCAGCTTTTTTCATTGCTGTTATAGGGTTCTGTTTTCTTGGGACTACTAAGACATTTGCTGCCTGTCCTGTTTTCTAGCAGATAAGTCTTGATGTCTTTATCTCTTCTTCTTAGCCCCCTTTTCTTATTTTTGCCTTTAATGGTAAATGAAAGAAATCCCTTTGTTCTCAGATGAGTGAGGTATTAAGAGATAGTAAAAGTAGATGTGCATATTTAGTGCCCATCTTTCCAGGGAGTCTGTTTTATTTTATATGTTACTGTATAGCTTTTTTTCAAACAAGGCAAGTCATTTAATTTTTGCAATTTATTCAGGTAATGCCTGTAAATATTTGAATTGCATTCATCTGAAAACTTAGGCTTTTAATTCTGAACATGGTATGTCTTCTCCCTTTTTTCCGTAACTTACCCTATGACAGAGTAAAATGTTTAGGATCTACAAGTGGTCTAAGGTGACTTAGGAATCAAATTGCTCATGGCAGGAGATTAGGAAATTTCAGCATATTTATGTTCTAACAAAGTTATGGTATCACTTGATCATTTGAGTTTATCTGAAATTGCCATTCAGTTTAATAGATACCAGAAATTCTCTCAAATTCTACTGAGTGAAAGATTTGAAAAAAATGCGTGGCAAAGTCTGAAGACATCCTCAAACTGGGCCTTTGGATATTTCCTTCTCTTAGGCCTATATATATGGTCTAACATTTGATTATTTCCTGCCTTGTATATTAACTAATTCAGTATGTGACGTTTTGCATTTTATAGTATATTTATCATTTGCAGTGTTTGGCCCACTGGTATCACCAACCAATTACTTGTTGAATCATTTTGCTTTGTAAAAGAAACTCATGGAATTTGCTTCTGTTGAATTATTCCTGTTTTTAAAAATACTTTATTAGAAAAGTGAATGAGTAAGAACATGAGAATGATATTTGAGAAAATACACATTTTGCAGCTTCTTAGGAGGTAATGCAGGGAAAGTTAAAAATCATTTATTTTTTCCAGTGGTTTATCTTTGCATTATGAAGAGCTAACCAAAGGACCAAATTGCATAATTCGAGGTGTTACAGCTAAAGGCCCTGTGAACTCTTGTCAAGGCAAGGTAAGCACTACATAAATTTTACTTATAGTAAAAATGAAATTGGAAATTGAAAATTGAATAACTATTTTTTTAAACAAAATGGCAGTAATGTGGAGTGCTTAGGAATTAATCAAAATCATGTCACCCAACTTATCATTTACATCTCTAAGGAAAGCTAGCACATTCACTGCTGCTGACATTTATGAATTAAATATTTTTCAACTGTCTTCATCTTCATTCCACCTTTTTGGCATTCAAAGCCAGTTTTTCCACACAGTTATCCAGTACTATGTTGTTTCTTTTTTCCTTTCCAGCCTTTTCCATCTATTTTTGTTTTTCTTACAGCAAAAACAAAAACAGAAAATCTTTAGCTCACCTCTGTAAATGTACTGGGTTTGGTATTTGGATAAAGGAAATTGTTTCAGGAGGGATAAGATTAGGGAAAGGTAAAGACATAAATTCCAATAAGGTAATTTTTTAATCAGATATAGATAGCCAACAGATGTACATTACTAAAAGTGAATATCATGGCTAATACCTTAAGTAATATATTGCTTTTTATCCCCCTTTATCATTACCTTCAGTATATACTTAAAATTTTACCCTATCAAAATATTTAAAATAGAGCATGTGAATTTAAGTATATATCTATCCTGCACTTATATAATCAAATCAAATTAAAAATCAAGTCCTGAATTCAGATTTCCCTGGAAAAAGGACTTGAAATCCATACAAACTTGACTTTACTAAGATAAACTTACTTATAAAAAGAGTTCTAGATTTTATTTTGAAATAATGTTATATTTACAGAAGAATTGGAAAGATATCATAGAGTTTCACATATACTTCTCATCCAGCTTCCTCTATTAACATTTAAATGACCATATATATTTATCCAAATTGAGAAATTAACATTGATATAGTACTATTAAAACTATGGACTTTATTCCCCTATTCTGTAGTTTTTCCTTTAATACTATTTTTATATTCTAGTATCTAATCTAGAACTCCGCATTGCATTTAGAGTTTCTAGATTTTTGTGTTTTTTTTCACATCACTATTTTCCGTATTTTTTATAATGCCTATCCTGATTCTGATCATTATTCAGAGGATATGTCTTTTCAATTTGAAGAGGCTATTTTCTATAAAGAAGCAACTTATATCAGTTTTTTTTACCAGCATCTTACATAGATAATACAAATTTAGACAATATAAATTTGCTGAGTAGATTTCTATAATGTTATGAAAATGAAAAGCAAGGAATCAGAATTAAGGTGATAAACTACTTAACTATTTATTTAGGACTTGGATTTAATTAAAATAATTTTTTCCAACAGAATTTTAATCTGAAGGTTATTCTACCGGGTTTAAAAGAAGACACACAGATTTTAAAAATTAGATTATTACCAGGTAACATTTTAGTATTTTTAATATTTACCTTTAAAATAATATTCTTATTATAAAGTATAATGATACTTACAAAGATGAAGTGTTTTTTGGTTTCGTTATGGTATAAATCTTAAATACATGTGAATGTCAAACAGCACTGACAGAAATGACCAATTAAAAAACAGGAAAACATTTAGGAAGACTGTAGTGAAATTCTAAAAATAATCTTGAGAGAAAAATGTGACCATTAAAAATGTATTGGGGTACTGTTTTTGAGGACATACTAATTAGGCTCATGTTGGAATGGGATATCTTTCACTACTTTTTCTGATATAACTAAATATTTCATATTTTAAGAAGAAAAGTTTCTCATGCATCTTTCAACTTGAAATAAAGTTAAAGTAACACAAAAATGCTGCCTAATTTGAGAGGCTGTCTGTTGTAGAGATTCTAAGAGTACATTCTGATATCAGCCCTTCTGGGTTTGAATCTAAGCTCTGACACTTATGACCTAGGTAAACATGTTGTGTGTCTCAGTTTCTTCACGCATAAAATGAACTAATAATCTACTTTCTCAGGATTGTTGTTAGGATTAAATGAGTTAATACAGGCAACCCTCACTTTGCACAATTTCATGGTGACCGAATGGAGGACACAGTTCAATGATGCTTGTGTTCTCATTAACACTGTCAAAGTGAGAACTGCACGTGCTTGTAAAACTCCTAGAACAGTGTTTGGTAGGACTTGTGGCTCTCATATGAACACCACCATGATCATATCTTTGACTACATACGACCTTTTGTACTGTTTTTAAGTGAAAAGAAACATATTAGCTATGTCCTTTTGCAGAGTCCAGCTCTGCTGAACCTGAGAGCCTGAGAGGAGTGGGTGGGAGACCAGAAAAACACAGAGATAGATACAAGAAAGACACAGAAATCAAAGTTGGGATCTGGAGGTCTACTGACCAGCGATGGTGGACCAGTCATGCAGTTTTATTTCACAACACAGCTTATATACACAGACTTACTTCCATGAACCGCCCACAATGATCTCATTTCCAGGCTGTTCTCACATCTGGTGTTCTCATTTCCGGTGATCTCACTTTCAGATCTGGTGTTCTCACTTCTGGATCTGGTGTTCTTACTTTTCTGGCTCTCCACATCTCCCCCGTCTTTCTTTAATAGAAACTTCAGGTGATAGATAAATACACTAAAGATTATAGCAGGCAGAGGGTCTCCCAACACAGCCCTTCCCTTCAGCTGCCCTTTCCGTATGGTAAAAGATAGAGGCGGGAGAATGAGGGGGCAACCGCTGTTGGTCAAGTTTTTGACAACTGCTTGGGTATATACTTTTTCTCAAGTGTACATGGAATGTTCGCCAGAACAGATCACATATTAGGGCACAAAAAGAGCCTCAATACATTTAAAATGATCGAAATTGTATCATACAGCTTCTCAGACCACAATCATATGAAACTAGAAATTACACAAAGAGAACAAGCCTGCAATACATGGAGACAAATGAAAACAAAAAAACAACAGTCCGAAATTGATGGATGCCACAAAAGCAGTTCTAAGAAGAACATACATACCAATACAGGCCTACCTCAAATACTAACAGTCTAAACTCACAAGTTAAAGAAACTAGAAAAAGAACAAATGAAACCCAAAGTTAGTAGAAGGAGGGACATAATAAAGATCAGAGCAGAAGTAAATAACAGAAGAATAAAACAATAGGAAAAAAATCAACATAACCAAGCACTAGTTCTTTGAGAAAATAAAATAGATAAACCCCTAGCCAGACTTACCAAGAAAAAAAGAGTACAGAAATAAATAAAAACAGAAATGAGGAGGGAATAGTCACAACAGAGGCCACAAAAATACAAAGAATTATTAGAGAATTCTGTGAAAAATTATATGACGATAAATTAGACATATTTAAAAAATGGACAAATTCCTAGAAAAATACAACCTTCCAAGAGTGACCTGGGAAGAAACAGAAAACTTGAACAAACCAATTACCAGCAATTAAATTGAATTGGTAATTTAAAAAAACTCCCAACAAACAACAGTCTAGGACCCAATGGCTTCACAGCAGAATACTACCAAACATTTAAAATAAGAGCTTAGCACCCATCCTTTTTAAGTATTCCAGAGAGTAGAAGAGGAGGGAATGTTTCCAAACTTATTCTGTGAGGCCAGCATCACTTTAATATCAAAACCAGACAAGAACACTTTTTAAAAGATTACCAATATCCCTGATGAACCTGGGTGCAAAAATCTTCAACAAAATATTAGCAAACTGAATTCAAAAATACATCAAAAGGATCATCCGTCACGACCAAGTGGGATTTATTCCAGAGATGCAGGGGTGGTACAACATTAGTAAATCAATCAGTATTATACACCACGTTAGTAAAAAAGAATAAAAACCAATGATCATCTCAATAGATGCTGAAAAAGCATTTGACAAAATTGAACATCTATTCAAGATAAGAACTATGAACAGTATGGGTATAGAGGATACGTACCTCAACATAATAAAGGCCATATACAACAAACCCACAGCTAACATCATACCTGATGGTAAAAAGCAGAAAGCTCTTCCTCTAAGATCAGGAACACAAAAAAGATGTCCAGTCCCACCACTTTAATTCAACATAGTACTGGAGGGCCTAGTCATGGAGATAAGACAACACAGATAGATAAAAGGCATCCAAATTGGTAATGAAGAAGTTAAACTGTCACTCTTTGCAAATGACATATACAAAAAAAAAACCCTAAAGGCTTTGCCAAAAAAGTATTAGATCTAATAACTGGATTCAGCAAACTTGCAGATTACAAAATTGATACGCAGAAATCTGTTGCATTCCTCTTTACTAAAAATGAATTAGCAGAAAGAGAAATCCATTTACAATTGCATCAGAAAGAATAAAATACCTAGGAATAAACCTAACCAAGAGTAAAACACCTATACTCTGAAAACTGTAAGACACTCATGAGAGAAATTAAAGACAGCAATATGTGGAAAGCTATTCTGTGCTCGTGGATAGGAAGAATTAATAGAATGGTTATTCTGCCTAAGGCAATCTACAGATTCAATGCAATCCCTATCAAAATACCAACAGCATTTTTCAGTGAACTAGAACATATAGTTCTAAAATTCATATAGAACCACAAAAGACCCCCAAATAGCTAAAGCGATCCTAAGAAAGAAGACCAAAGCGGCTGGGAAAGGGGAGGTGATTGTGCTCCCTAACTTCAAACTCTACTAAAAAGCCACAGTAATCAAAACAACTTGGTACTGGCACAAGAACAGACCCATAGATAAATGGAACACTATAGAGAGCCCAGATATAAAACCACACAAATATGGTTAGTTAATATACAATAAAAGAGACTTGAATATACTGTGGGGAAAAGACAGCCTTTTCAATAACTGGTGTTGAGAAAACTGGACAGGTACATGTAAGAGAATGAAACTGGATCACTGTCTAAATTCATACACAAAAGTAAACTCAATATGGATCAAAGACCTGAATGTAAGTCATGAAACCATAAAACTCTTAGAAGAAAAAAGCAAAAATCTCTTGAGCACACATATGGGCAATTTTTTTTACTGGAGACTTTTCCTTGGGCAAGGGAAGCACAATCAAAAATGAGCAAGAGGGTCCACATGAAACTAAAAAATCTTCCATACAGCAAAGGACACCATCAGAGCAAAAAGGCATTCTACAGTATGGGAGAATATATTTCTGAATGATTTATCTGATAAGGGGTTAACATCCAAAATATATAAAGAACTCATCTGCCTCAAGATCAAGATAATAAATACCCCTATTACAAAATGGACAGATGACCTAAACAGATATTTCTCAAAGAAATACAGATTCCCAACTGGCACATGAAAAGATGTTCTATGTTGCTAATCACTAGGGAAATGAAAATTAAAACTGCAATGAGACTCCACTTCACACCAGTTAGAATGGGCACTATCCAAAGACAAGAAGTAACAAGTGTTGGTGAGGATATGGAGAAGAGGGAACCCTCCTACACTATTGGTGGGAATGGAAATTGGTGAGGCCACTGTGGAAAGTAGTATGGAGGTCCCTAAAAAACTAAAAATAGAAACCATACAACCCAGTAATTCTAAAGAAGATGTACATATACACAATGGAATATTGTTCAGTCATAAAAAAAATCCTGCCATTTGCGACTATGTGGATGGATCTAGAGGGTATTATAGTCAGTGAAATAAGCCTGGTGGAAAAAGACAAATATCATATAATTTAACTTATTTGTAGATGTACAAAACAGAATGAACAAAACAGCAGTAGACTCATACACACTACTGAGAAGTGACTAGTGGTTGTCATGGGGGAGGGGTTGGGATGGGTAGGTGGAGAGAGTGAGAGGGATAAAGGGGCACAAAAATTCTCAATCATAATATAAGTTTGTTATGGGGATAATAGTTCAGCATGGAGGATATAGCCAGTGATTCTATAGTGTCTTCCTATGTTGACAGATAATAACTGCACTAGTACGGGTGTGGATTTAATAATAATGGGTAACTGCTGAAAAACTGTGCTGTATATTTGAAATGAATGTAAGATTGTATATCAATGGTACTTCAGTAAAAAAACAAAATAGGATTAAATATGGCGGCATGAGAGGTGACACAGAGGCTTCCTCCTAAAACCACATATAATACAAAAATATAATTAGTACAACTAATCCTGAGAGAGCAACAGGAAAGAGGACTGTGCCAGACTGCATACACCTGGAGAAAAGAGCAGACCTCACGGAACAGGGTAATGTACCAAAGCTGTGACCTGGAGGGACCCAAGCCCTTCCCTTACCCCAGCTCACCGGCGGGAGGAAGAGAAATGGAGCAGGGAGAGAGTGGAGGCCTGGGACTGCTGAATACCTAACTCCGGAGATCTGCTCTGGGAGCACAAGCCTACATTTCATGGTGCTTTCATGATATTCTCGTGAGTAGGGGGTTGGAAAGCTAAGAAAGGC